CTTACAACTGACTTGTATCTACCTCCGTAAGTGCGGAGAAGCTACTTACAAGGGTAGTAGGTGGGGTTCCTGTAAGGGTATCTACCGCACATGAGCGAGGGCATTTTCCAGGTCACCTGGAAGCAGCATGATAAAAGTTCATTCTTCTGACTGCTGCGTTTCAGATCGCTGAGGATAATGCTAAGCGCCGGAATAGTTGAAGGAAGAACGAATCCTTGCGAACTTTTTTGGATTCGTTTTGTATCTTCGGAGTCTTTTGCAATGCACCTTTAGTGCCCTTCACATTTTCATATTCAGGGAGATTAGTGACTTGGAAATATTTATGGTACAAGCAGAATGCTCCTCAGATTATCTACCCTTGCGTTCAGTGACATCAAGACTGCAAAAGTGCACGTATTCGTGCTTTAATTTCTATAAATGCGATTGGCACTCTTTATGAACCGCGTTGTTTTTAAAGGCAGCGTCCGCGATCAACCAAAGTGAAAAACCCTCCAATGAAAACGAACGCGGAGTTCGCAACCATAGCGGATATCCCACTCTTGCGGCTCGAAATGTATTGATTGACGAGGGCGGAGTCAACAAGGCTGAGCTGACGCCTCCTTTCCTGTTCCCGCCCCGACTGGTTAACAGTTATCAGTGCTTGCTGGCATTGATAAACGCTAAGTTTCTGGAGTTCCGAGCCGGCGACGTGTATTGGAGAACTCACCAAAGGTCTGCGAAACTCGTCCACATGCCTTAAATTTCGTGGGTTCTTCTATGTTCACGCTCTTCCACACCTTTTTCCTACTTTTTTTGATTAGTGCTTCATTGGCCACCTGTTCTAACAAATTTGACCCCTGAGACCTGCCAAAGTCCATCGCGGGCGCTGTCTTTAAAGGAAGCGATAACCACGCCAACTAGTCCCCGTGTGAAGGATCCAATGCTTAGCTCAGAATGGGCACATTCCCAAAAGGGTTCTGAAACATGGCTTGTTGCAGGAATGATCCTCCTACAAATCCCTGAATAAAGAAGAAACTGATTGACGCTGGTCCATCGGCATTCAAGTCACTAAAGAAAGAGCCTGGGCAAGCAAAGAAGGCACCTAAGCAGATTATAAGAATAAAACGATCGACACTCACTCACACCCTAATTGTACTGCATGTGAAGAGCTTCAAGCTCTTACTGACTGGCAGGATGTCAATTCGTATGGTTTTCCTCAACCCAGGCAGTACGCTTGTGGGCTTGCGGTGGAGAAGGTTAAGAAATCATAACGCTAAGGACGCTGCGAGTATTGTAGCGAATTATGCAAGACGACGATATGCACCTCTTCACCCTGGCTATTACGCGTACGGCCTTGCACATGCGTTAGACCTGTTGTACTACGCGACATTCAAGGAATCGAGTCGCAGCCAGCGCGGACTGACGCGTCCACTTGTAATCCTTCGGACAAGTGCAAAGTGGAAAATGTTATTAGTGCGCTGGATGTAGAAATTCAATGACTTTGCAGCGCTTTAACGTAGTAGTGAAGCGCGGTCTGCTGCAGTCGCGCGATTCCCGAATCGCGCGACTGAATGGCTGGAGTCGCCAACTATTAGGTCATCCCATTCAAAGTGGCCGACACATATAGAGGAATGGCAGAAAAGCAAAGGGGATAGAGCAGCGGGCTACTATACCATTTGGAAGCTAGTACCTTAAGCTGTGTATCTGTGAAATTTGGCGAACCTAGCCTCTGAAGAAGTTCTCGAGAAATTGAAGAGAAGCCCGAGTGGTGAAAATCGGCGCCGGTTTTTCAAATCAGACGTCATAAAAGGAAAGTGCGCTGCTCAAATTTGACCTGCGCCGGACCATAGTTGTGTGTAAGGGTGTTCGAAATACACGGTGGAAGATCTGGTTCAGGAGCCCGTACAAGGAAGAAAGGAAAAATTTCGTATTCCGGTGGTCCATAGATATTCGATCCTGCACAAGAACCGGACTACTGGAGAGGTGATGAAGTCTGGCTGAATTCTGAGTAGCAGAAGCCCTTCGGACCCTTGTCGAGCTTTCCGCGAGTCTGACATCTAGCCTGCAACTGCTGCCGGTTATGACTCAGATAAGGCAGATGGTCAGAGGGTGGGCCACACATGGTACCCATCTTTCTTATAGAAGCACGAAGCCAGTGACCGATTCTTACTCGCAGCAGTAAGGGTGGTCTCGGACCTCGAGTCCGATAAACTGCCAACTCGTCAATTTTCTATGAATGCAGATGAGAAGCCGCCCGAGTTCTACCATGAAGAGTTACGTGGGCGCAAGTGGATGATCATCATAGCAAAGGATTCCCACACTGTGGCTTTCAAGCGGCTCTATACAGAGGACAAATCCGTCACTGTCGGTGCATATTGCCTGTTCCTCGGCATTCAGATCGACAAATGGATGTACCACACAACTACAAGAAGGCCACCGTTGCTCGTCATAGTGCCAGACCCCGAGTAACTGTATTGTAGATCAGTGCTGGGACACAAACAATACTGAGACCTGGTGAGCTTCGGTCCCATTTCGCCCGTCATAGAAGCCATCGCGAATTACAACTGTCTATAGATCTGGTAGAGGTACTTTTCGACGAGCAGACGCTTGTTACAATGTTTCTGTCATTTTGCGGAAAGTGGGCAAACAACAGCATTACTTCACATCACTTGTTTGAAAATCGAAATGGTACCAACGAGCGTCCAAAAGGCCTCGGAGCACTGGAGCGATGGTTATTGGCGAATGACAGGAGGGCATTTACTTCATCCTCAAGGAGCTACAAATATCCCTTTTTCTAATCTTATTCTCCCTCTTTGTTTTATTCCAAAAAAGCCATCGGCCACTTTGAATGGGATGACCTAATATGAGCACAGCCTTGCCACTTAAACAAATTGGAAATGTGCACGCTATCCGAGAAGAACCACACAAGTGACAATTCTCTTCCCTTATTCCCTGAAGAATTCCAACAAATCCCTAATTTTCAATATGATTCCAACAAGTAATGTACACAAAAAGTGCGCTTCTCGAGTGAAAAATTTACGAAACTCTCATGAAGGGTTAGAAGTTGTAACCAATGTAACTGAGGCACAGAAAAAGACAGAAAGATTTTGCTTACCGAACTAGGTATGTCCACTGTTTTTCCTTTGTTAATAGTTCCACAGCTTCAGTACCCGTGATGTTAGCATGAAACCATCGTTGTGAGGCTGGAGCGCGAGCTTCCTGCGCCGCCGGCTCATACAGTGGAATTGAAATCGGTCGCCTTTAAAATATTTCAGAAAATTGAGCGTATATCGCAGTTGATGACGGAAGTTTTTGGAGTTTCTATTAAAAAAGCTCGATAATTACACAGTATAAAAGTGGAGCACTGTTCATCAGGTTCATCGATAGCCCAGGTTTTTGCTGCTGCCCCGCAATGATGGCGTAGTTGATGAGCTGCTCGTGTGTGACGAAAAAACGTAAAGAAATCCCCAGAACATAGCGCTCGTTTCTGCAGCTGGTTTTGAGAGATTTGCGAGAAAAACGCAAGCACCTTGAAGGTTGGATTAGCTCTCATATGTCAATACGATATCACATCCAACGACAGCTCATTTCTCATGTCCTTGAGCGTCCCTCTAGCGAAAGAAAACGACCTTAGGGTCCTGTGACGTGGTACGCCAATCGAAATGTGTACGAAACTTTTGCAGATATCGGGTCAAAACAGTCAGTTGGTCAACGAATAAAGACATACTTCATTATGATGGACTCTCCATTTCGTTCTTGAAGCTGTTCTGGATTATCGATGTAGAACTGGACAAGCTCACTGAGAGATGCGAATGATTCACCTAGAACAAGTCTTATGATTCTCTAGATAGAGCGTATCGGAGGGTTTTAAACGGAAGCAGTATAGACAACAATTTTATTCACATACTCACCTCCAAATAAATCCAGAAAGTCATCGCTGTTTTTCTGGATTTTGACATGAGTGATTGCTTTTCCACGACTAAAAAAACAGTGAATTTAAAATAAAGAGCAAATGCTTTTCCACATTCGCCAAGTATCATGTCACCTGGCAAAACTAGTAATCCTGATTACTCAACACCGCGTTAGGCAGCGTTTGTAGTTTGCGGCTCGGGACATCCGGCGATTTGGAAAATTCGGCGTTTCCGACGACTGCGCGCCAAAGGAGTGTATGGGCAATGATCGACGCTAGCAGTTGCAGATTCGGCGATTCGCGAGATACAGCAAGCCGGCGATACGAAGACTCGGAGACTGCCCAACCCTTGGATCCCCCAACCCGTTAGCGACGGGCATCGGATTGGTCGAATCTCTACAATCACTAGCGACCGGCGCCGACCGATAGCCATTCACCCTTGGCGTGCAGTCTTTTGAATCGCTGATTCTCCCAAAGAGCTGGATCTACCGGGCCGCAACGTATGAACGCGAGCTTATGGGCTAAAGACTTCACCTCAAGCAGGACTCAAACGTGCGTTCACACTTGAAGGACGTAAAAAAACTTCGAATTTGGAAAAATGCGAGACTGAGGCGAGCGATTTCGGTGGCGTAATGGATAGCGAAGCTGCGGGGGAAGCATACCGTGCTGGTTCGAGTTCCGCCTATGGTCAAGACTTTTGACCATAACTCAACATTCTTGTGATGGCTTTCGGGGTGTCAACTGCAGCGTCCAAAAGCAGTAAAAGGCACACCCCGCGTTCATTTGATGTTCATCCGCCTTCTTTGGACATGGTAGTCCTGCCTGAAACCAATGAGTATGTACTTCATTTGCTGCTTAGAACTACGTGAGGAGAGCGCCGCCCCCTCGCGACGGAACCATGGCCTCGCCCACAGTCACGGACAGTTTGATTTTTACCACCTGATGGTGCAGTTGCTCCATTACTAACTCTTCTCATTTCCAAAGATGAGAGTGAGGTGATAGGAGAAAAGATTGGAACTGACAAGTGAGGACTCCTCGTCCGACGTCCGACCATACCCTTTCTGCGCCTTATGCACGTACAAGCGCATGGGTTCTATACGGGACATCTCGAGCGGGTATTAGTATATGAGCACCACAAATCATCATTTTTGAACGCGGGGCGTGCCTTTAACAGAAAAAAAAAATTCGAAAATTTCAAGACAAGTTCTCCAACTCAAGAAAAAGCAAAACATCACAAGAAAAGAAAGCTAATTGACATCTTTTTGGAAGCAACCTATAAAAAGGAGATACATAAATCGCCAACGACAAAATCGTTAATAAGTTCCCAAAATTATTTCAAGTTCAATAAATATTTTCACATACATGATCGAAAGTGTGAAGTTGAGCGGCTGCGATTCACTTGGTCGTGCTAGAAATTCGCCGTCTGAACCATACTGTCGTAGTAGCCGCTCCGCTTCTTCACCAGTTACATTGTAAAAGAAGTTGCAAGGCCTGCGATAATCACTCATGTATGCCAACTCCGAGCAGCAAATCCTAAACAACGTTCCGATCATCATTTTTGGCTAGAACACTCATATTATGGATTGCTTGCAAAAAGTGTATCCCAGTGTAATTACTAAGAAAAACAAAGCCGTTTGAACGGATCCTCAATAGCCCATTAAACGAACGGGCGGTCGAGAAAAATCCCCCATTCCACTAGAACAATCTTCGAAAGAAAAAAATCCTGGCTTAATATCTGTTCATTAGGGTTATCTCTTGTTCCGGTCAGGAAAATGACATTTCTCGCGCTAGGCCTTTTGTGTGGGTTATTTGGCGCAACAGATATGGACACATGACAGTCATTTTTGGTTATCCGGTGGCAAAACAAAAGACAGCGTACCAATGCAGCGAACTAGTATACGGGAGTTATTTCACATCCTGATTATGATTATGACATTCACTCTTGGCGCCGGTGCTAATGTAAGGCACTACGATCCTGCGTTTGCCAAGGCTGAGCCTGACCTGAAGGGCATCAGTCTTTCTCCAAGGCTCAGCGTTAGCAGAACGCTTTATGGCGCTGTTGTCCAGAAAGGGGTGCCATATTCATGACCAAGATATCAAACAACCCTACCATGTTCACATCGATTCTGGTGAGAAAAGCGGTGTCGCCAAAATGGTGCCTAGCGGCGTCAAATGGCGCCAGCGTCAAACAAATGTCATACGCGTGATCAGGGCATCGAATGACCCGTAGTATAGGCAAAGCTTCAGCAAAATTTTTTCTCGATTTTTTGAAGTATGATAATTGAATGGTACCGAAAAAAGACTTCCTTAGAGGAAGTAAGGTATTTCAGAAGATTGAAAGACAAGTGATACCATTACCTCATTATCAGTCTTCTGTTTCCTCCTCAAAACAGAAGCATGTCTAGCTTGCTCGTTGAAGCTGCTCCCTGAAAGTACATGGAAGCAGTATAAGTATAAGATTGAAAGCAAGAGCACGTCGAATATCCTGTACAGGAGACGACGATTCGAAGGCTACTACAGTAATGAGGCGAATCTGCAGATGCCGAATGACCTATAAGCGAAGAAAGAGCAACCCATTACGATGCTCTAAACAGATACTGCTGATTTTCAGCAATTGACGAGTAACCGAAGAAGCGAGATACTGCATGTGCAGGCTAGAAACCAGAAATGAAGGATGTGAGGATAAAATGACGACTGAGCCAGCAACGGCGATCAAATATGGTGAAGTATCAACGGGTAGTATCATCAGATGGGTAGCGCTCCTATGGGTAACGATGACAGCAGCGCCCGCACTATCACTCTTCTCTCAGTTAAAAATGAACGTCTGAGTTTGCGGACTTCTTCAGACAAAGGGATTCCAGCTATCAGTTAATCGCAGAAAATCTTTGAAACGTTCGTGGCCTACCTTTTCCAACATTACAACCACACAGTGCTAAGAAATGTCAGGTAAGTCGTTAGCTATGCACCCTCAAGAATGTGCTCATATTTGGCGAATCACAGGTGGGGCTTTATTTCCCCGTCGCTGAATGGGCGCTGTGCGTCGACGCTGCCTCCCAAGACAATTCGTACTGCGAAGCTGCGACTGGGAAGCAACGCTCCACAGCCCGCGATCTGGTCGCGCGGATCACGCGAGCGATTTGGTTGCTCTCATCGCTCAATCGGATGGATCCATATCTCTGAGATATCCTCCGTCACCCATAACCTGCCGGTTCGGACTATAGCCTGCCGATCCCGACCATTTCTCAAAGAGGGGCGGAGCTTCTTATAAGTGGACGGGGCTTCTTAAAGTAAACGCACGCTGCCATCTGCTCCGCTGAGAATCTAGAAAGGAGGAAATTTTGAAGAAAGGATCAAAACTTCGCAAAGAAACGCATAAGTGGGTGTGGCCAAGGAGGAGCTCAGTGTGCCAGTACTGATGCATATCCATATGAGTACGTTTGTTGAGTGCATATGAGTACGTTTGTTTACAAAGAAAGATGAAAAGAACAACGTCGAAAGAAACAATAAAAGTCCAAAACAAAAGTCCAAAACTTATACCAACTTCATTAAAAAGTGGTTGGATTTGTATCTGGGTTGGGACCAATCCTTTTCACTGAGACTGGTGGGGCGAATTAGCAAAAGTGCAAGAAGTGAAAGGAGCAGAATTCATAAAACATTGAGAAAAACCGTAAAAGCGCTGAGAACGGGCGGGGATTTCGAGACGGAGCTTGCAGTAATACCTAGTGTGGTCCAGTCAATCAACCGCCCAAAGTCCGAATCAGTTTGGAATTGTCCAATTTGATTTGAAATGTCGATTCAAAATGAAAATGCTATAAGCCTCTCATTACTAAATACAATACACAAACTTGAGTTCACTGTAGTCGCTCCGCCACCACGCCACCAGTAAGCGATGACGTAAATGTTCTTTGCTCTAATTAATTTCAATGTGCTGGGTTATTACACTAAAAACGAGTCATCTTTCATCGGGTATGTGACAAGAGGATCGTAATTTGCCGCGCTGCTGGGCGTCGCGTGCGACGTCCCGCCCGCAAAGGACGATGGTTTCAGGCAGTAGATGGCGACAACATGCAATTAAGGACCGAAAACAGTAATGAGTGTCTACGATGACGGGGTCTACATGAAGTCCGGTGCTTCATTCGACAGACGAGTTATGAAAACGCCGCGCCCATCGAGGCTCATGATTAGTAATGAAAAGTAAATACAAAACAATTGTGCACGGTTCTTTCAAGCCAACTCAAGATCCGTGCCGGTTCGTTCATCTGTCAGATGTAGAGGGGAAAATGGATTTCCATTAACGTTGGAAGGGTGACAGCTTGAGGAACCAAGGCTGCGTTTATACCTTCCCAGTCGCTGACGTGCTGCTGTGCGCTGACATACGCTGACGTTGGCTAGATTGATATCCATACTTTCCTACTTGTTGCTTACGCGGCGTTATCTATATCCCCTGATGTGGCGCTAGCGTACGTTGACGCAAAGTGTGAACGCAGTCTGCAACCAAGGGAAACCTTTCGGCAGCGTCTCAGCGATCCATCCCTTGGTGAATGCTTAGCCTTACTGGTGACTATGTGTTCTCTACGAGATGATCCAGGCACAGCAGCACTTGATGCATTAAAAAGCCAAGAAACGACTTGTTCACTACAGAGGTTCTGGGGAGGTAATGCTCTCGTGCTTCAAAGTAAACGTAGTTGAGAGGGTCACTCGTTGCCGGTCCTATGTCCCTTAGGCCGTGCATACTTTGCGACTCGGCGTTTTAGCAGAATCAGCGCTTTGAGTAAATCGGCCTCTTGAGCTCCGATACATAGCTGTTCTTTCTTCATTTTTG